CGCTCCCGGGGGTGGTGGTTAGCCATTGGCCTCGCCTGTCCTCCAGGGCGGCCGGCGCCTCCTCCCCCAGAGCACCGCGTCTCTCCCTCTCCCCTCCCCCCTCGGCCCTTGGGAGCCTCTCGGCCATCCCTTGCCCACCCCTCCCCCCAGGGGCACCGTAACAGCTGGAGCTGGCAGAACGCGGAGGGAGGGAGGGCGGGTGCTGCCAGGGAGAGCAGGAGCCACTCTGTGCCTCATTGCCCTCCTCGCCCCCCACCCCGCCTCCACCTGCCATGGCCTCTCCTGTGGCCACACCCGCCAGGGCAGCCAGGCTTCAGCTTTCTGGGCCAGAAACAGAGCTGTGGCCGGGACTCGGCTACCCAGCCACCACTGGCCGGGGCCCGTCAGCGGGGGCTAGGTGCTGGCACTGCCCCCCGCTGCGGCTCTGAAACCCGTGCTGCACCCCCAGTGGACCCTCCGTTCAGCGCCTACCCCGCGGTGCTCGGGGCAGCAGGCACAGGTATGGTGGTGGCGACGGTGGCCTCCCTGCTGGTGTTCCAGTACGCAGCCCGGCACCCCGAGACCTTTCCCTGTGAGTGGGGATGGCAGGACCACCCTTAGCGCCCACGGGGAACCTGGGTCAGAGCCTGGGGGCTGCTGAGTGCCGCCTCTCCCCGCCCCACAGGCCTCGGGCAGTGGCTCAGCCCCACGTGAGTGTGGGACCGCCTTTCAGGGGCTGGGCTTCCCCTCTGGCTAGGAGCCATGCTCACCGCCCCACCCCACCCAGGGACCACAGTCAAGGGAGGGCTTCAAGGGGAAGCGCCCAGGCCCAGGCAGGTGAGTCTCCCCGGGACGGCTTCTGCCCGCCCAGTGCTGGTTGCCGGCAGGACGCGCCGCTCCAGTGCTCTGGAAACTTCCGGGATGGCCCAGGGCATCGCTCTGCCCACCTCCGCTCCTTACAGGCATCGGGACACCGCCCACCGCCCCGGGTTCGGAGCCTGCGCAGGACCCCGAGGCCCCAGTGAACCTCACCATCACAGTGACCACCACACCGTGAGGCCAGCGAGGACGGCAGAAGGGCAGAGGCAGGCAGGTGGGCAGGTCCTAAAACCGAGGCCACTCAGACACCAGCTGCCCCTGACCGGCTTCCATCTACGTAACAGGTGAGGCCCACCTGCAGGCCCTCAGCACCCCGGCTACCAGAGAAGTCAGCCCATTGTGCGGAGACAGACGTGGCAGGACGACGCAGTCCCTGAACCAGCCAGGCCCTGCTGGAGCGTGGGGCCATGGTACCAGTGTCCGCGGGCTGCACCGTTCCCAAATAAACCAACCTGCTATTGTCCCTGACACGCCATTCCGACCACGGTCCTGGGCAGAGACGGGCAGCTGGGCCCAGATTTGGCTGGTGCAAAGGAGTGTGTGTCCCCGTCACGTGTGGAGGATTGGCAAGGTCTGCAGAGCCATGCCCGCCGGCGGAGTGGAGGCCTCAGAGACGCAGCTGCCTGCCTCGCCGGGGCCCAGCTGCACTGGCGCTGCCAGCATGTCCCAGGAGCTAGAGCGTGTGAGTGCGTGTGCACGTGGCTCAAGTCCAGGCCAGACACAAATGAGGGCTTGTCCCACGGGCACCAGGGGCCGGGCCACCCCAGCAGGAAGGCAGCGGTGCCTGCAGAGACCAGGGTCAGTGAAGGAGGGCCTTCCTGGGGCTCCGGCGTCCCCGGAGGTGCTCGGGACAGGGCTGAGGTCTCTGAAAGGTGCACTTGAACATGGACGGAAGGCGGAAGGACTGCTGGTCCTGACCCAGGCACCAGGAGCCTCCGCCTCGTAAGGCAGGAGAACGAGGCTTCCCAGGGACCTCCCCGAGTCCACACGGACACCACCCCAGAGGCCGACAGGCCAGGCGTGAGGCAGGGCTGCCCCCGTCATCTCTGGAGGCTGGGCTGGCCTCCACCCCGCCCTCCCCTCCGCTAAGCCGCAGCACCTGCGTGGGTCTGCGTCCAGAGCCTTGCGGTCAGAACGGGGGCTCTCAGCACCCACGGGCCCCCAGTGGGGGTCGCGGGCTGCAAGGACACGCGGGAAGCCGCTCTGCACAGCAGGGACGCCGCCGGCCCATCCTCACGGCTGCTCACCTGAGAGCAGCACTCTCTTACCGATGACGTAAATTGTGTCGGCCAGGTGAGGCCTGCCGTGGTCACACCACTTAAAACACAGCTTCACACACAAGGCCACAACTCCGAGGAAGTAAAACACACTATTCCACATGACACAAAACATGCACCTCAGTCACGTGGTAGAAAACACACAGGTGGCACTGAACGAGGAACTGGACCTCTCTGGGGGTGTCATGAGAGTGACGTGAGGCACCCAGGACAGACATGCTGGCCTTCACTGAGGTGACCTCGGTACCACTGCTCAGGAAACTCGCTGAGGAAGCTTTGGGACCCTGCAGCCCAGCACTGCATGCACGTCAGCCCACAGCGCGTCTGCAACAAGGGGAAGGCCAGGGGAGGGAGATGGCGCACCTGAGGGACCGTAACGTCATCGCCATCACGGGCTAGGGACCACACCTAACTCCAGGCTCGAAGGACGCAGCCTCAGCCGTGTCACGACCCTGAGCTGGCGAGGCCGCGGTTCTGGCGGGACAAGCCCGGGACAACTGCAATGGGCAGGCCCCCACAGAGGGCAGACTGTGGCCGGAGCCTCAGAGGACATAACGGCAGGTGGCAGCAGCATGCAGGCTGGCCCCCCAGAAAGCCTGCAGCTTCTGGACACGGCTGGCCTACCCGGAGAACCCATGGCTTCTGGACATGGGCTGGCCCAGCCCGAGAGCTTGCGGCTTATAGAATGCACAGGGAAAGGGGAGGGACAGGTGACAGCCTGGCAGACCAGCACAAGGTCAGGCTCGGGGGATCACTGGCTGCTTGGGGACCCGACGGGTAAATGCAGGAAGCCCGGAGCATGGTGCCTAGCACACGGCAGTTGCTCGGCAACCCTTGTGCCACCTGCTGCCTGTCCTGCGAAGTGACAGGAGGCAGGCCGGCTCTCAGACCACGCGGAAAGTTCAGAACGACTCACGCTGCAGGGACCGCGACTCCCAGTGACAGGCAAACACGTGTATTTGTGTCTCTCAATACAGAGGCGTCTTATAAATAGAACAGGACACAAGGAATAACACTTAAAACAGCGTCACCGACAATGTAACTGCCGCCACGCGCTGCCCTCCCGCTGGGCTCAGCTCCTGCCCTCGCAGATGAAGTCCGGTCTGCCCGGGGCTCACGCTCACGGTTGGCTGGACCAGAAGCGCCAACGGGCATGCTCCATTTTCAGGAATTCGTCTGTGGCCGGGCGCTGCCTGCTGGGCCCGGTCCTCGGCTCATCCCCATTCCCCCTCCGAAGTCCCTGCATGTGCAGACAGAGCCCAGGACCAACGCAGATGCTTCCCTGCTCTGCTCCCGAGGCAGGCGCGGGGCGAGGGGCACGGGTGGGCCGAGAGAAGCTGCCTGCCTTGGCACTTGGCCTGGCTGCTCCGTCACAGAAGCTGCAAACCAGGCTCCACGGAACCGCACGACCCTCGCCGGGAGCTCTGGTCCTTCCCGGGGTGTGGGGGCGCAGCCCAGAAACGTGTGGCCAGGACGGGGGGCCGGGCTCCGTGACGGGAGAAAAGCTTTCCAGTGGTGGCCGTGGGTGTCGTCCTTGTCACCACGGGCAGCGGCGAGGTCTGCATGCGTCCACTGACAGACGTGCAGGAGCTGCTTACACACTGACGTGTCTAACGCCTCTTCTCCGGGTCTCCATCGGTCCCGATGCACAGCTCTGGGGCTGCTGCCAGGCCACGAATGAGGCTGTCCTGAGGGTGGTGTGGCCCGCCCTCCAACGTGGGACACACGGGGCCCCCGGGCCCCCCAAGGCCTTTTTCTGCACGGCACCACCTCACTGATTCTGTTTTTACTGTTTAAGCAACCACTTCAAAGTCCTGCTCTGTCCCTACCCAGAAACTGCCATGGGGCCCCACGCACCTGTTCTGTGGCTCCTGGCATCGTTGTCCTCCTGGCAGTGGCTCTCTGTGCACACTGCCACACGCGACCAGAGTGGCCTGCAGTGCCCACGTGACACAGGGAGTCCCTGGGTCATGTGAGCGCGCCTGGGAACCCACTCTCCTAGAGGCCAGACCCACGGCTACAAACACAGGCCACCAGGGCGGCGACCTCAGCAGTCCCCACAGCAGGAGACGGCTCTCCCTGTGAAGACAGGACAGGTGTGGGCTGGAGGACCTGTCCACCCTGTGTGCCCACTGTCACTCCGGTTCTTGGGGTCGGTCGGGACTGGCCCCCACTCCCGGGTGAGGGAAGCCATGCAGAGCAAGGACACTCCTACTGAGGCGGAGCAAGGGGGAGGATTTTCCAGGCGTATATGCTCACGGCACACGCCAGGCAGCGGCGACGGCTGCACGCGTCCACCGACAGAGGTGCAGGAGCTGCTTAGACACTGACGTGTGCAAAAGCTACGGGGAGAGACGGCCCCTGCTCTGGTCGCAGTGTGTCCTCACTCAGCTCCCAGCCCCTGTGCTGCAGTCGCTGGCTCGAAGCGGGTGTGCGTCACGGCGTCCTCAGGAGCCACGCGCTGCGGCAGGTGGGAGCGTCCAGCCTCAACTCCTGCTGTCTGTTTCGGAGCGGACACTGCAGTCTCCTGCAGATGGAAAGGCTGGAGCGTTAGGAGACGCCTGAGGTGCAGGGCGGGGCCAGACTGGCTGGGAAGGCCCTCGATCCAGCCCCCTTTCCTGGTCTCTAAGACCGTGTGAGCGGCCTTGAGAACCCCAGGGCTGACGGCGGCAGAGCCGGACCTGGCGCCCTGAGAGGTGTCCTGCGTGGGAGAGGCACTCCCTGAGCACAGCGGCGCCCCCGGGACCTGGGACGGGCGGAGGCTGAGGGTGGGTCTGGGAGGGGAACTGGTGGAGGTGCCCCTGCCCTGCCCGTCTCTGCCTCTCTCATGAATGTAACGAAGAAATACGTTTGCGCACCCCCACACCCCTCAGAGCATCGCCTTCCCTTCCAAAGGAGTCTTCAAAAAGTTTGTGCAAAATACAGATTAAGAAAAGACTATGAGGGAACCAATAGTTAGCGTGATGGCTATGTCGCTGGACTCCCACGTATTCGACCGTGGTTCGCATCCCAGACCCGGTGGCTTAAAACTCACGCCGGGCGCGTGTGCGTGCGTGCCCAAGATCCCGAGAGGAGAACGGAGGAGAAGGGATTGCGGCGTGGCCATCCCCCCTGGGGGGCGACTTCTCGCTTTCTGTCTCTATGTCTCTCTCTGTCTGTCTGGCGAGCGCATGCGCCCTACAGTGAAAATCTCTCCAAAAAAAAGAAAAGAAAAGTGTGTGCATGGATTCCAGTATTTTTTCACACCAGAAAAAACTTATTTTCACTCCATCCTCCCACAAACTGTTTTTCTTTTCTTTTCGAAGAGGTTTTTGCTATAGAGCATGTACTCTCGCCAGAAAGACAGAGACAGAAAGCGAGAAATGACCCCCCCCCGAGGGATGGTCACGCCGCAATCCCTTCTTCTCTATTCTCCTCCTGGGATCTTGGGCACACAAGCACATACACCCAGCGTGATTTTCTTTTACCTTTTGAACCGCGGTCACTACGTGGGAGTCCAGCGACATAGCCATTACGCTAACTGCTGGTCCCTCTCCCATAAACTTTTAATCTTTTTATAATTAATTCATTTCTTATTAATTATAGGATATGTCTACTTGCCAGAGAGAGACAGAAAAAGAGGCCAGTGAGAAATGGCTGGGGGATGACTCACAGCCCCTCCTCCTCCAGTCTCCTCTCGGGATTTGGGGCAGGCATGCTCACAGAGCAGCATGTCTAGGGTGCTGGGTCTGGGACTCGAACCACAAAGCTGGCTATGTGAGATCCAGTACCTTAACCTTCCATACCTGCTGGCCCTCGCACGACATTGTTTTTTTGGGGGTGGAGGTTTTTGCCTTAGGGTACACGCACTCATCCGGGAGAGAGACAGAGACGGTGAGCAGGAAAGTGAGAAATCACCCCCTGGGGGGAAGGCCACGCTGCAATCCTTTCTCCTCCACCCTCCTCCTGGGGTCCTCGGCAGACACACACACAGCCCGGAGTGAGTTTCAAGCACTGAGTCTGGGACTCGAACCACGGTCATGTAGGACTCCCGAAATGTAACCACTATGCTGGTCCCGAGCTTTCCTACACACTTTCTGAAGGCCCTTGTACTGTTCTCAGCTAAGAATGACCTGGGAAGTACAAGTCAGCATACCCCTATACCTATGAGGGTCAGCTGTGCCCGCCCCGCCCCTGCGCCAGGCCGGCCGTGCCCGCCCTGTGCCCTGCTGAGCCCCACGCCCCTCCTACCCTCTAGGCAGCAAAGACGCTGAGCAGGTACCAGCACCGCCTCGCCCTTGACGCCCTCCTCAGGTAACCGGCCACCATCAGGTATGCTGGGGGCCAGGCACACGGGCATCTTCGAGCCGCCGAGAGGCTTCATTTCCAAACTGTCCTGCGGATGAGGTGTGGCCAGGGTGGCCCGGGGGAGGGGGCTGCTGCTGAAAGTGCCGCTGGCTTTGGAGAGACACCTGCGGGGTTTGGACCGAAGGCAACTGGGTGTACGGGGCTGATCGTCTTAAAAGGCCCATTCTGCAATATCGTTCAGCATTTCGTATTTGTATCCTTTTCGTATGTTTATTTTTTAGTTTTTGCTATAAGGCGCATGTGCTATCAGACAGACACGGGAGAGAAGAGGGAAACCGCCCGAGGGGGTGGCCACGCCCCAATCCCTTCTCCTCTAGTACCTTCTTGGGATCTGGGGCACGCACGCACACAGCCAGTGTGATTTTCAAGTCGCCTGGTCAGGGACTCAAACCACATAGCTGGCCAAGTGGGATCTACCGCCTTAACCTCCACGCCACTTGCTGGCCCATATCCACAGCTGAAGAAAAATGGATGCGGGGACCAGCAGGTGGTGTGGTGGCTAAGGTGCTGGACACTCCCACGTGGCCGATCACCGTTCGAGTCCCAGACCTGGTGGCTGGCTTTCTCACTTTCTCTCTCTCTGGTCAAATTAAAATAAATGAAGGAATATACATAAAAGTGATCAACAATTTAAAAATGGATGCTTAAAGGTAACTAGATACTGGGCCAGCCCCAAGGTGCAGCAGCCACGCCCAGTGCACCGGGAGGCGGCCCATGTGCTGGCCTGTGGCTTGGCCTGAAAACCACAGTGGGCACACATGCGTGCACGCCCCAGATCCTGAAGGGGTGGAGAAATGTGGGAGCAGAGACGGCGGTGACCACAGCCCACGGGCGGGCTTCCTCCGGTGGAGACAGCAGCAACCGATTATTCCACACGTGGAGAATGCAACCGCAGCAGGAGTGGGCCGGGACTGGAGAGTGCTGCGAGGAGGAGCAGCAACGCCGGACCGGGCACCAACTCGCCCGACTCAGGCCACCCTCAGGGTCTGTGACTTGCCGACTCAGCCCACCCTCAGGGTCCCCCACACTCGCTGGGACTCAGCCCACCCTCAGGGTCTGCAGTGACTCACCGGACTCAGCCCACCCCTACCCTCAGGGTCCCCCACACTCGCTGGGACTCAGCCCACCCTCAGGGCTCCCCGCCTGTCACAGTCACCAGTGCAGGGGTGAGTGGGGGAGGGAGGGCAGGGAGTGGGGAGGGCTGGCTGGCCCAAGGTCAGGAGCACCTCGCAGCCCTGCAGGGAGCTGGCAGAGAGGGGAGAGGGGTTCCCGCCAGGGGCTTCCCCTCTGAGCTCAGCCTCTGAGCACCAGCAGCCGCTCCCTCTCCTGCTTCCCCATCTCTGAGACGGAGCCCTCAGTTCTCAGCTCCCCAGTCTCGGGGACGCCTGGCCACGTGGACTGGAGCATCTGCTCCCAGCTCACCCCACAGCCTGGCCAGCTCCCCAACCTCCGGCTCCGCCGTGCGGGTCTCCCCATGGCCACACGCCACGCTGCTTCGCGGGTCTGTTTCTGTTGACTTTAATATTTTCTTTCTCCATAAATATAGCAATTAAGTTTTGTTTTTCGACTCTTTTTTTTACCGGGCTTTTCCATCTCATTTTCCAGCTCCGTCAGCACCGAAGGCAGCCTGCGACCCCTCCACTGAGCCCTCAGGAGTGGGGAATGCTTTTAGAACAGGCCGACCCTCCATCTCAGAGCCGGTTCAGACTGCCACGGGGTTCCTGCCGGCTTCAGCCATGCAGTTCCACCGGGGCCCACGGGCGCCTGCACAGCCCCACACCCCGGCAGCGGAGCAAAGAGATGGGCAATGATGAGAGCCGAGGGCCCCGAGGGGCCGTGACCGCGACGCCTTGGCCAACAGTGCACGTTGGGGAGGACGGTGCACGGCTCGTGGGCGCGGGCTGATGTGCATCGTCGGGGACGCGGGGACGGTGTGCAGCACGTGGGGGCGGGCTGGCGCGCTGCGTCATCGGGGACTCGGTGTAGGGCCGTGTATCCAGACTCTGCTCACAGCGGCCCCACGTGTGCAACAGAGGGCCTCGGACGGCCGCAGCCCACCTGCAGAGCGCCGGACTTCATAAAGACTTTCTCTAGCAAGGGGCTGTCAGCGAGTGACAGGCAACGGGGTCCAAGTGCCCGACACCAGGCCCCTCAGCGAGCCAGGCTGTCACTTCAGGTGGGAGGGACACGACACACACCTCTGCGGCTCTCCGAGTAGGGGTGGTCATCCTGTCCCCATTCCAGCTGTCCGCACAGCCCTGCTGTCACTGTCATAGGCAGTGTCCCTTATGACAGGCAGTGACCGCCCTCATGTCAGAGAACGCCCGGAGGGCGGCAGGGCATCCACACAGCCAGGGGCCGGCCAGACCCCGCTGGTGACGGCCTGGCCCACGGGCAACTGCTCAGCACCGCGCCGCGACTCTGCAGGGTCTGGTGGCGACGCAGGCACGAGCGACCTCCATTCCAGAGACGGCGTGGGCAGGGAGCAGTCCGTTCACGAGAGGGGCGACGAAGCCCCAGGGAGACATCCTGCCCGAACATCCCGGCCCCAGATGGTGCTCCGTGAGCAGCACGTGACAACCCTCCGGGCAGCAGGTCCCGCGGGACGTGCCCCGTGATGTCACAGCAGAGCTCAGAGACTCTGGCCAGGAGGTCCTTGTTGCGTCTGTGCGTCCTCTCTGCCCCCCTTGGCCGTAAAGGCAGGGGTGAGGTTTTTCAGTGAAGCCTAGGGCGGCCTCACAGTTTGCCGCCAGGAACTTTGGTCAGAACGATGGGGAAGGCCCAGAGGAGGCGGGACGGTGCCCACGACCACCTCTGACCGCGCTCACCTGCCCGCGCGTGATCAGGTGAGCGTGCGTCGGCCTTAAAGGACAAGAGAACCGTGTGAGCTGCCGATACCGACTTCGGCATCCGCTTCCGGAGACATGAAACCACGTGGCCACGGCGTCCCTGAGAGGGTGGGGGCTGGCCGAGGTCCTCGAGCTGAGTTAGACTGGCGAAGTGATCAGAAGCCTAATTCCAGCAGGACAAGCCATCTCACCTGTTCTAGGACAGCGCCTTGTAGCCGTAAGCACAGCCACCTAGCTAGCCACATGCGAGCCACACCTTACAAGACCTCCAGTTTAGTCCCAGACGTCTACGCGGTCGGACGGAAGTGGCTTTAACTCGGGGTGGCGTGCTGGGGTGAGGCACAGAGGGCACGGTCTACCACACAGGAGTGGCCTCCGCTCCGAACAGGGCCTGGTACTGCACGTACAGACGCCGTGTCACTGACGAGGCTTCGGGCAGAAGCAACCACGTGACCACGAAGCAGCACCGCCAGCACCTGTGTGTGAACCCGAGACCCGCGACGAGTGGCAAGAGCGGAGGGGGCTGAGCACACGTGACGCTCGAGATGCTCCTTTGATGCAAGTTCACGCGAGTGGGCACAAGCCGTCCCACACCCATCACTGGCTCATGCTGGGGGGACGCCCCGAGCCGTCTCCAGGTCGACGAAGCGGCTTTCTTACTTCTAGGCCCGAACACGCGCACTGTGAAGAGCTCAGCACCTGCGCACAGCACCTGCGAGGCACTTCCCGGGGGGCCTCATGGCCGACCACACAGCTGTGTGCGCGTAGTGTGACCACGAGCGGCTGCCCCACTATTCCCTCTCTGGTCAGCCCAGGAGGGCAGGACGACCACCAGCCTCCTGGACGTGGCTCCTGTCCTGTGCAGACGCTCCAAGTCCTGCACGCGGTGGTCAGCCTCAGTGGGGACGCTGACTGTCCCAGGTGCCACGTGCACTCCGTTCGCTGGCCTCGCCTTATCTGGGGTTCCTCGGGGGTCGGGTCCCTCCTGCCCTCTCAGCGTCCACCCTGCTAGCCCTCAGGGCATCCTTTGGGGATCAAGTCATGGGTGACTGTCATAGAGCAGTGACAACAAATGCTGGGAGTCAGAAAGGGCTGGGACCAGCAGATGGCATAATGGCTATGTCACTGGACTCCCATGTGGTCGACTGCGGTTCGAGTCCCGGACCCAGTGGCTTAAACTCACGCCGGGTGCGTGTGCGTGTGTGCCCAAGATCCCGAGAGGAGAACGGAGGAGAAGGATTGCGGTGTGGCCATCCCCCGCCCCCCGCAGGTGCGTTCTCACTCTATCTCTCTGTCTCTCTCATGAGCGCACACGCCCTATACCAAAAACCTCTCCAAAAATAAAAAATAAAAAGGGCTGAGTGCCCTGAACGCAGTGAGTCACTCACACGCGAGCTTGAAAGCACCACGCCCGGGGCCAGCGACAGCCCCCACCGTCTCCATGTGACCAGCGGAGCCGACCTCGGCAGTACCCAACTCCCCCAAAGGAGGGCGCTGCACAGTTTAAAAACAGATGAAGCCCTCCGACTCCTGGCCTGGCTGGCGAATCCGCACAGTGGACAGGGGGCTGGGGCCAGGCTTCCTTCGGCCTCAGGGCCATTTCAGAGTGACCAAGTGGCCGGGAGCTGGGGGAGTCGTAGCAAGTGGGCTTGCTGGGAGAGAGGGCCAGGTGCCCAGACCCACGGCTGTACTCCTTCTTCACAGCCCAGCCGGGGAGGGCGAACCCAGGCCTGAGCTACACTGCACGAGGGATGCAGGCAGCGCACGCTGCCCAGTGGGTAAGGGAGCTGGACCCGCACGGCCGACTCGCTCGCTCTCTCTGTCTCAGCAGCCACCAGGAGGACCTCAGGGTTCTCTGCACTCTCCTGCCCCAGTGCGGGGCTGTCAGGGCAGGTTTCCCGGGGCGGGTGACAGAGGGACCTTGCAGTCCCAACACAGGCTATCCGCACGCAGAACCCAGAGGTCCCCTGCAGGACCATGTCCCCGAGCACGCCCTGCAGCTGCCTCCCGACGGTCAGCCTGCTCCTGGCAGCTTCCCTGATGAACTGCGGCCCCTTCCACGCCAGTGCTTCCTGCCCGTCCCAGGCTCTCCAGGCCCTGCAGGCCGGTTTCTTGCTCCTCCCCAGGAGGCTTCTCGGCTTGGTGCTCCGTTAGTTCCATCCGGGTCCTCCCTCCTCTCTCTGTTTCCAAGACCAATGGTGACTAGCCCGGGTTTAAAGTCGATCCCTGCCAATGAAGCTAGCCAAGCAGCTGGTGCACACTTCTGATAGCACACCCCGCTCTCCACGGCGCCTGCCGGTCCACGCCCGCTCTCCACTGGCGCCCTCTGGTGCTCAGAGGGCTGGAAAGGAGTGGAGAGCTGGGGGCTTATTTCATACAATCTGCTTCACTCTTTTTTTGTATTTAATCATTATTTTATTTTTCTTTATTTATTTTAATTTGACCAGAGAGGAACGGAGTGAGAAAGAGAGAGAGAGAGCAAGACAGCAAGCTGCCGGGTCGGGACTCAAACTATGGTCAGCCACAGGGGAGTCCAGAGCCCTTGACCACCTGCCACCTGCCACTGCCGGCCTCAGTGCATCTGCTTAACTCTGGAATGTCCAAGCTACACGAGGCCCTCCCCTTACGCCTGAAGTAGGGGACTGGCCTCGGGGCGCCGCGCTGACGTCTCAGCTGCTCACAGAGCTGTCGTGTGTGACTTCTCTCTCCCGTTCTTTAGCTGCCACGGGGCACGTGCACTCACCAGAGAGATGGAGAAGGCGAGGTCACAACCCCTCTCCCCCACTTGTGCATCCTATCAGGATGTGGGCATGCACGCACACATGCCTGGTGTACTGTTGAAGCCGCCGGCACTGGGATTTGAACCTCAGGCAAGCCGTGCAGGATCTGGCTCCCTCAGTCACTAGGCTATAGGGTCGTCCCCATGTTATTGCTCTTACATCACAGAAAGGCTCCAAAGTTCAAGATAGCAGAACGCAGCGAGGCACGTGGTCACCCATGACACGCCATGGACACACCAGGCCTGGACCCACTCGACATGGCTGGCCGGCACGCACGGAACCCTCTCAGCTGCTCTGCACTCGTCACCCGCTACCCGGGCCGGACCAGAAGGCGGTTTCCTCTCTGGGGAGGTACCACGGAAAACGGCTGGGTCAGCGGGTGGGTAATGCAGCAGGATCCCACACAGCCGGCTCAGTTCAAGCCTCGGACCTGAAGCTTGAAAACCACGCTAGGCATGTGCACGTGTGCCCAAGTCCCGAGAGGAGCATGAGTAGACAGGCTCAGCACGCAGCCACCCTGGGGTGCCTTCTCGCTCTCCTGCTCTCTCTGCCAAGCACACGCACCCTAAAGCACACAGAAACGGGGAGGCGGTGGGGGGCTCAGTGCCTTGTTCCTTCAAAGCCCACTCCGAGAAGCACAGTCAAGTCTAAACCAGAGAAGGCAGAGGAAGAGACCGTGGAGCAGTGAGCCCAGGACTCCACAAGGAAAAGGCCCTGCAGAGACCTTAGCTCCCGGTCCGGGGAGTCAGAAGTGACCAGAGCCCGTGCCCAGCACGGGCTAACAACGCCTGCCTGACGTGGCCCCTTTCGGAGCACGCTGCTGTGGGCCTCTGCTTCTGGGCTGACCAGAAGCCTAAGTTCTGGTTCTAACAGCTCCCAGACACCACTCTGAACCTTTTAATTCATTCAAAAGATACAGGTCGAGCCCCAAATCAAAAATGAAACCCCTCAATCCTCGTTATTTCATGCTCTTGCACAATGGTTCACATTGTGCAGTTTGAGAACAGGGACCGGTATGATCATTCTGCAAAAGAAAGATTTCTCTTCTTTCTTTCTTTTAATGATTATTTTATTTAACTTTATTTATTTAAATTTGGCCAGAGGGGGACACAGCAAGAGAGAGGGAGAGAGGGGAAAAGTGAAAAAGCAAGCCACCAAGTCCGGGACACAAATTGTGGCCGGCCATGTGGGGGTCCAGCCTCCTTAACCACCATGCCATTAGCCGTCCCCTAAAAAAAGATTTCTAACACAACTTTAATACAACAAAAACGTGCTAATCCCATTAATACAAACAACCAGAATATGAGCGCTCTCTGAGCGTGTGCATGGGCCGGACGGTGGTGCTGCAGCCCAGCATCGCCCAGCGAGGGCTCCTCTTGGGCTCCCGGCCAGGGGCGAGTGGGGCCAGCCGGCTGGGGGGCCCGCAGTACCGAGACCCTGCAGGTGCTATCATCTAACTGTGGAAGATGCACTTTAACGCAGCCATGTGTAGGCTTTCTTGTGAGACACTGTGAGTGCACACAGCTTTTAAAATTAAACACATCGAAAGTAGGAATTTGCTACTGAAGATTTTAATTGAAGAAAAAGCACTCAGTAGTCTGGTGGGGCATTTCGGTACTTGCTATGAAAAATAACAATCACACACACACACACAGGTCCGCCCCAACACTCCCATGCATCCCCTGGGAGAGGGTGACGGTGGGGTAGGAGAGCCTGAGCACAGGGAGCGACACTCCGATGCTCAAACACATCAAGCCCGTCTGCCTCGGGTAGAAGCGAAGTCCTCCGTGTGGTAGGACGGCTGAAGGAGCCGAGCACAGAGACCCGCACGCAGGGGTCACAGCAGCACACCCTGGGCTCACGGCTGCGACTCCGAGCTGTGACCTCAGGGGGACCTCCGGGAACATCCTTCCCCCAGGGGAAACACGGCTGCCCACGCCCACGCCCAGCACGGCCTACCTGTTGTTGTTCCGGCAGTTCCGGCAGCTCGCGCACTGCAGGGTGTCCATGTACGTCGGGACGGCCGCGTACAGCCCGCCCTGCGGGAGCACAGAGAGAGAGCGGCGCTCAGACCGTGCTCGGGCACCGCCACGGCCGGCACGTGGCCACCGCCCTCGCTGCATCCACGCCGGTCCGCCTCCACCTTACATGCGCTCTGAGATGCAACGCCCTTTCTCTGTATTGTAAAAAGGCGAGTGAACGAGGGAGGAGCTTCGTCACTTCCCCTCCACGTCTCAAAGCTAACGGCCCTCCGGCCGACCTCCGTCTCCACCTCCTCCACGTGCTTACTCTTCTCGCCGAGGGCAGGGCTTCACCTGACGCCCCTGCAGCAACAGGGCATGAGGCCGCAGGGGGACTCAGTGACGCACCTGTTCCTGCTCCTGCAGCCACGTCCCGAGCCATGTCCTTCCACAAAGAACAATGAACTCCGCTCCCTCTGGTAATCAGATGCACGGGGCGAATTCGGTGTTTTCCCTACTACACACAAAGCTGGCTCAGGGAAGTCATTAGATTCCGGCTCTATAACACAAACGTGTCTCACAGTGCTGCCATCCAAATGTAGAATTTTACTAAACTGTTACTAACGCTGACTGGAGACACCGTAGACTTCCATTATCCGTCCGATGACACACTACGGAAGCGCTTCACCCCGCCATAAAGACACCTGCTTGATTACAGTACCGTGGAGGCGCACCGCCCAACGCCAGAGACCACGCTCCCCGCTCGGAGGCCTCCGGAGCCGGCAGCGACCTACATATGCCGGCCATTCGATTCCAATTTCTTTTTTTTTTTTTTTTTTTTTTGAGAGCTTTTCGCTATAGGGCAAGGGC